TTTGGGTTTAAGGGTGCGTTTAGGATTTAGGGGTTCGTTTATGGCTTCGGGGTTGGGTTTAGGATCTAGAGTTTAGGGTCTAAGGGGTTTAGGGGTTCCCCATATCTATTACAGTATGGGGTATTGCCTGGCCATATCTTGGGCCATTCCCTACCTATTTCAGGTTTAGTGAGTTGGGGCTGAGAGCTTTCGGTTTTTGCGTGCGGGATTTTGGGCTTGGAGCTCAAGGATTTCTTGCGGCTTTTTGAGGGGTTTAGGCTGTAAGGCTTGGGGTTCAAGACTGACGAGGGTTTAAGGTTGCAAGTGGGCTAGACAAAGGATAACTATGGCATGTCTTATGGAGAGCTCCTCTTAGGAATTTGTGTTTCCCGTAATACTCCTTGCTCCCTTCCACTGCCTGCAGTTGTTTATCTGTCCATCCCTTTGATATTTGAGCTTGCAAGTAACAAATACAGCCAGAAAAGAGTGAATCAGGCCCTCCGTTTGTTGCTCAAGCCGCTGCAACATGCAATGGCAGGAGTTAGTTAGGGCTTGAGGCGTCTCAGCTTAACTTGGTTACTGCTGATATCTAGTAATAGTCTATCGAGTTAGAGTCTATAATGAGGGGACAGCATTTAGGGCTGTATAGACTTGTAGCATAACGTAATATAACTAATATCCAAGTGCTACTGAGTGGGGCAGTATCCAACGTTTAGCCGTCATGTGTTTCTGTGAGAAACAATGAACTTCTCAGAGGGAGATCCCAAAACAAACGGCTGTACCTTTAACTTTGACCCTAGACCCTTCACGCCAAACCCTAGACCCTAATACCGAAACTTGAAATTGGTGGCCTCAGCCCTCTCCCTTCTGCATCCCGAACCCTTAACTAGCTGGCGGTCACTAGGAAATAGAGGAATGGCTCCCCACCGTAACCTCCATACAACGCCATAGTCATGATTCCTCTGCTCCATTCCTTCAATCATTCCCTAGTAACTAATCCATACAGCCTAAGCAATACAAACAGTACTTTCGATTTTTCCATCTCCCATTCAACACTCACCACCAACAAGTCATCCCTCCAAACATGAATCAGAAGCTCGGTACAAGCAGTTCCACTGAAAATCCTAAGCACTAAACTGCCCCAAGAGCCCAATGTAGGTATTACTTAAACCCCAAAACCCTAAACCCTGAACCCGAACCCCTAACCCTAAATCCGAAACCCCAAACCCGAACCCTAACCCCCAAAAAACCCTAAATCATTTGAGCCATAGTCTAAACTCCTAGCATCCCCCGTAATGAGCCCTACAGTCGTGCCCTATATAACTCCTTATATAACCCCCCCTTTAAGGAGTACACCCTAAACCGTAAGCCCCAAAACCCTAAACCCTGAACCCGAACCCCTAACCCAAAACCCAAACCCCAAACCCTAAACCCCAAACCCCCTAAATCATGTGTAGACTTACAGCCCCAGGCTAACCCGAAGACGTGGGCTTTGAGGTCGCAGGCCTCGGCCAGCTAAGGCTTGCTTCGCCTGGCCCACACGGTCTTTAGGGTATAGGGTTTAGGGTTTAGGGTATGGGGTTTAGGGTATAGGGTTGAGGGTTCATGCTTTGGGATATAGGGTGTGGATTGAAAGTTTAAGATGTAGGGTTTAGAGCTTTGGGGTTAGGATCGAGTGCTATACTATGGGGCATAGGTTGGGTGTGTAGGGCTGGCTTTTCAGAAGTTAAAGTATAGGGTTTAGGGTTGAAAGGCCTTCTCAATACGAGAGGGACATGGAGAATCTCTCTCTCTCTCTCTCTCTGTCTCTTTTCCGTGTCTAGACCCTGATGTAGTTACGTCTATAGTATGGGATCTGTTACATTTCGGCTTAGGGCCTATGTTTAGGGCTTGCGGCTTGGGGTATTTGGTTTGGGAATGGGACATTGGTTTTGGCATATCTATCCACCGACTCATGAGCATCCCGCGCAAATTTTGAACTGTTCCTAACGCGTGTACCCGGCTTGCGGGGAACATCGCTTGAATACAACTACGGAATACTACTTTCTGTCAGGAAGATTATGTGCGTGCCTTATGTATTAGGGCTTTGGGTTTTGGGGTTCAGAGTTTAGGGCTTGGGGTTCGGGTCCTCTAAGAAACTAAACCCAACAATATTCGTTTCGCCTGTGTTCTTGAACAGAAACCACTACGAGGAGCCTGCTGGCCTTATGCACAAATGGCCCCATGAAGAGCGTCCCAATTTCTTGGAAGCCCCTAATCCTCTTACGCAAACGCAGACTTTACTGTTGCCTTGTCACCCAAACTTCACCCCCCCAAAATGCTGAATCTGGTAAAATTGTCTTCAAATTGAAAGAAGCAATCCTCTGCTCAGAGCTGAATACCCCATATAAAATACTAATAAGACTAGTTATTCATTTTTCAGTATTCATATTTTATTACTATTACTATTACTATTATTATTATTTCTATTATATACTGCTTTCCCTCTCAAGGCTGCAATCCTTCTGCTTCTCTTTTTTGGTTGCTGGCACAAATCCGAGGAAAGGTGCCGCGTCGCCCGCGCACCTCATGGCGGGCTGTCATGGGCAATGTTTCCCCCTTGCTACTTGTACTCTTCAAGACGCATTCCTTATCCAAAACTGGCACCAAAGAAACTACTTCCCTTTGTTTTCCCTTCAAACCCACAGGAGCCCCTAAACCCTAAACCCTACAGGAGCCCCAGATGATTTTCTGAAGGACCTTAGATCAACCCCGGCGTGGAAATGTTCAAAGGAAGGTGCCCTTCAGGAACTCTAAGGATATGAGACGATTAGGGTGAACGTAGGGTAAATGTTTAGGGTTTAGGGTTTGGGGCTAAGGTTTAGCGCTTATACACAACTAGACACATTGGGTTCTGTTCAAACATTCCGCGTTACGGTATGCCTGTCGGCCTATCACAGCCATGGTTACGGCTTCTATGTAATCAAGCTGGAAGAAGGCTGTAGTGATTCATAAGAGGGCAAGAAATTCTAACGATGCGAGCCACACAGGGCTAGATTGCAAACGCACATTCGGAAGTTTCTCAAAGGGGGGGGCCTCAGGACTCAAGGGATGTATCGGGTTATGCAGGGACTGGCGGGGGGAGGGTCCTTATTTGGGATTGTATATTTGGGATTGTATAGAGAGTATTTTGAGAAACTCTCATTTCTCAATTGAAGTGTGTGGAGCTTACACTGGTTCAGACTTTGATTAAGCACTCAAGGTACTGCAGCTTGGGGGGGTTGGGGTCTGGAGGGTTAGGATTTAAGGAGTTTTGGATGAATTTAGTGCATGAAGATTAGCGGTTCAAGCAAATCCCCTGGGGATTTGACCCGAAATTCGAAACCACCTAATTGTCAAATGCCAGTCCTATCTAGAGCAGCAATTACTACTATTATTGTCACCCATATAACCTCAAACCCTAAACTATTACAAGGGGCTGTTCTGACATTTCCTGATTATGACTTGGCTTCCTCCCTACCCAGCTCCACCCTAGAATTCCTTAAGCCTCATAAGCTCCATGAACCCTATTTAGGGTTTAGGGTCCAGGGGTCTTTCCGCGCTGTCAAAATTAAGCACTTCATTACGTTGGGGTCTTTGACTTCATCACAAGCCGGGGCTTCCCAGGGAGAAAATTATCATCCCTACATACCCCTGTGTAATCTCAGTTTCCATTTCATTTTCCATTTTTTTCCATTTGGATTCTCCAGTATTGGGATAATATCCCTAAACCCAAAGCCCCTAAAATGCAGCAACTGGGGTTCCTGCCAAGGGAGAAAGCTATGAACTGCCGGCAGATTGTCTGCCTCCAAGCAGCCCAGCGAGACCCCACACCCTTGATTCAGGAACATGGGTTTAGGGTTTAGGGGTGAGTGGTTTCGGGCTTAGGGGTGCAGGGTTTAGGGGTTTAGGGCTTAGGGTTTGCCCCAAACAGGGAATGGAAAAGAACATGGAAACTACCACATCATGTAGGGTTTTTGGTTTAGGGACATACTACACCAACAATGGAGAATCCCATGGAAAAGACCATACAATTCACGGAAGCTTGGTTTATGTAGGGTTTGTAGGGGCAGAACACCAGACCATACTGAAGGAAGATGCCCTAAAAGATACTAGGATCCCTCGTATGATTTAGGATATATTACTGAAGAAAAGGCTAAACCCTAAACCCTAAAGGGGTATTGGGCTCTGGGAACTCGTGCCGGGATGACCCCCACCACTTACCAGGGAAGGAGCTAAATTAAGATGATAGAGCGCTGAGAACACTCACCAGAACCATAAGCGGGTTTAGGGTTTAAGGGTTTAGGGCCCAACCTAACTTGTTAGTTCTTTCCGAGCACCTGGTGGATCCCACGCCCTGAGTTGGAATCTTTGAAATTGGTTACTCGAAAGGTCATGTACCCAACACTTGAGTACTTTCGATTTGAGCCAGTATAGTGTTGGGGTACATAAGTTTACGGTTCTTGGGTACTTGGACCTTTTGGGTCCATCGTTCAACAGTATTGGAATCCTGAATCCTAGACCCCCCCCCCCCAGAATACCGACCTCGAAGTGAGTTTGCAATGGGACACACTCACACCTATTCATAGCTTTTTTTGGAGCCTAAAAGCCGCAAATCTAGACACATCTTTTAGGACATCCGCGGTCAAGTGTGGACAACCTGCCCCCAATCACCCTAAACCTTTTCTACGGTAGATGGAGGAAATCTTGCATCACTGTATCCTGTACTACCTGCGCATCATGGCATATTGAGTACCCTAACTGGAGAAAATAACCTAAGTGTTGTAGGATCCCCCCCATCCGCAAGAAGTACACGACGTTGGAGGAATGAGGCTTGCATGCACACCCGAGACATCAGCACTTGAAGGACCCCTAAAATACGGCTGACGGAGAAACCCTCCCCCACTCGTATCTCTCAAACCCTAAAACCCTAAACCCTTAACCCCTCTCAGCTAAGCGAAACAGGGTCAGAAGTGATGATTCCATGAATTTCACTCCCAAGCCTCCAGCGAACCGGCGCAGATGTGAACCTCTTTGCCCACCTGTGGGAGCTTTTCGAACCCTTAATGCGATTTAGGTTTCAGGGTAAAAGGAGCCCTGAATCCGTCTACAAGAAGGTCCCCGTGGGCCCCCCCCCCCCTCTTGAGAATCTCTGGCCTCTGCTCAGGGCTGCAGGTTTCAGGTAAAATGTTGGGAGGATAAAGGGGTCAAGCAAGGAGTGAAAAAGGCTTTGTGACAACAAGTTCCAGGTTTGAAGGCTGAAAAAGGTTTGGGTTTTTTGTCCTTCTGGGATCGTGAGATCTGTGGTGGAGATGTGGGCATCTCGCAGAGACGCCAAGAAGCCAACACTCATTTGTTGAGGAATATACCCTAAATCACGTAAGGTATCTTGGTACAATTTACGTAAGACCCAGGTTTTTCCTTGGGGCACTTGCAGGAAAGTCCCTAGGCCTCCTCCAGGCAATTTGGCCTTCTCCAGGCAAAGCCGAAACACAGATGCCAAGAACATCAACACTGAACCCCCAACTCCAGTCTACACCCGAAACCGGTTCAATCTTATGTTTTCAACTCCGCGCAGAAGACCCTTGGCCCTGACTCTCCCTCGCGTCCCAAATCCTCATTTGGAGGTTCTCAAAACGACCCCTATGCAATTCTGATGGGGACCTTGCAGTCTCCTTGCAATTCCTATACAATCTCACGGCTACCTTCCTTCTCCTCCGGGTTGTTACGTTTTTAGAAGGGAACGAGGGAATATTCACTACTAGCCTCCAGTAAGTTTCAGACAAAACTCTCAAATCATCGCTACAATACTCACAATTCCCAGACCTTCGGAAGCATTGCCAAGCAGGAGAAGCACTTGCCGCAGAAGATCCTTGAGGGTATAGGGTTTGGGGCGAGCTACTCGTACACAGGGAGCCTGATACCCCTTAATTGAGGAATATATCCTACATGATTTAGGGTACATTCCTCAATTAAGGGGTGTCAGAGTGCTAGGCTCTCTGGAATACGGGACGCTAAATTGTTAAAAAGCTTGACGCTTTAGTGGTTTGGGGTGTAGAGCATAAAGTAGAGGAGATGTCAGGATTTACAGGGACTAATAGGGTCCTTCTTCAAGACCCGTTGTTCCGTACATTTGCCATTTGCTTCAGACAGCCAGTGTAGAGTTGAGGGCTTACTTACTACCCGGAACCTTGAACCGCCAAACCAGCTTTCTCGCAAAAGAGTTTCTCGCAAGCTGGACGAATCTGTACAAACCTTTTATGAACCCCTATACAGATTCGTCCAGCTTGTGAGAGACCCTTTTGCAAGAAGGCTGTTTTGGGAACCCACCATTTCAGGGATCCTGGTACCATTTAGGTACGTTACGCTTATTACTCGACGGGTTTAGTATAGCGTATTGTTGGGTAACTTTTTCAACCCTAAAGACCCAAAGGTCTAGGTTTTATGAGGGAGCCCCGACAAAGACTTTGTGGATGTTGTAGATGTGACAGCAATCTTTGCTGGGTTGCTGTTAAAGAACTTAATTTAAGTTACTATGCTATGTTGGGAAACCCTATGAGTTATATACTATATATACCCATTATGGTAACTTACTTTAAGATCCTTGACCGCAAGCCCGGTTTAGGGTTTAGGGTTTAGATCTTAGCCGCGCACTTGGGCTTGGCCAGAAAGTTTGCGCCTATTGCGCGCCTCTTACCCCCAAGAACCCAGACTTACGGTTTAGGCTTTAGGGTTTAGAGCCCAGACCCTGGGCGCTAAAAGCCAAATCCTAAACCAAGCCCTGGACTCTAACCCAATTTTCTTTTGGCTCTGACTCAGAGAAATAACCTCCAAAAGCTGAAATCCTAATTTTCCGGCCATTTACCAACCCTAAACCCTACCTGGACCCCAAAAGTACGTAAAAGAATGGCCTTTATGGGTATTATTATGGGTTTAGGGCTATTATTTTACATACTTTTGGGGTTTAGGTAAACCCCAACCCTAAACCCTAAACCCTAAACCCTGCCATTTACCAACCCTAAACCCTAAACCCACCGGAGAAGGCCTGAGGACGTCCGCGTTGAGGTGCTTACATCGGTCTCGGCGGGCTTCCACCAAGTCGGCTCCCTCGTGGCAGGCTTGGCTATAGGTGCTCATAGGGTTTAGGGTTTAGGGTTTAGGGTGTTTCCCAAAATTAAGGGTAACCCGATAAGAGATACTATAGTATATTGGGGTCCATATTGGGGTCCCTATTTGGGGGATCTACCATATTCTACTGGGTTTAATGAAAGCATCTGTTGATGCAACTCCCTGGTGCTTAGGGGGGAATGGGGGAATGGATCCCTATAGAAGTCCCTATAGAATCCCTAATAATAATCCCTAGAATCCATGCCCCCATTCCCTCCTAAGCACCAGGGGGACAA